CCTCAAAAACTATGTAGGAAGTAAACTAAACTAAAGCTAGGTAGGTTGGTACTTTCAACTGGGTGGTCAGGGAAGCCCTCAGATGACATTTAACCAAGAAAGATGAGGAAGGCAGCTCTGCAGATGTTCTGAGAGATGTATTCCAAACAGAGGGAACAATCCACTGAAAAGGTGCTGGAACCAGAAAGAACTTAGTTTGTTCTGGAAGCAGAAAGGAGATCAGCATGGCTGAAATAGAGTGAATAAGAGGTTGGTGAGGTCAGAAAAAATCCAGTCCCATGAGAAGCTGTTGAAAGGTTTTAAATAACAGAGCAATTGAACCTGGGTGATGAATTTAAAAAAGAAAAAGAAAATACTTGCGCCGCTGTGTAAGGAGAATGGATTCCTAGGAGAGCAAAAGTGGAATGGGGGATAACGACAGGAAGCTATTCCTGGGATGGATGAGTGGGTGCATGGATGGAATGAAGGAAGGAAGGGAGGAGGGAAGGGAGGAAGGGAGGGAGAGAAGAAGGAAGGAAGTGAATAAATGAATGATAGCTGTGATTACAAAGGAACAGGCCTAAGAGATTCTCTTGGCCTGTGTATTTTTAGATTAAACTGGTTCTTAAGTCAAATTTCAAAAAACAAAAACTATTTTGAGATAAAGGAACTTTGGAGTAAATAGTTTTCTAAAATGACTGCCTTGAGGAAGATAATACACATTTAGCAATACAATGACTGGCATATCTATTTAAAAATATATTGTTCTATAGTCATAATACTTGAAACACAATCATCGCTTTTGATACTACAGTTCCATATCTAGAACTCTATGCCTTGGAAGTACACAAGTACACACAGGTTTTTGTATAAAGGATGTTTATTGCAGCCTTATCTGAAATGGAAAAAAAGCTAAATATCTATGCATGGAGAAATGATTTAATAGATTATGCACATTTGTTCTACTTAATACTACACAGTTATCTCAATGAATGTTTCTATCCCATATAATCTGACATGGACTGATGGACCTCTACAAACAGTGGAAAAAGGAAGTTGCAATGTGTGTCTTTGTGTATGAGAGAGAATAGGGAATGATCTAGAACAGTACTAATACCGTAGCCACTAGCCACATGTGGCTATAGTGCTCTTAAAATGTGACTAGTCAGAAATGAGATGTGCTCTAAATAAAAAATACTCACTGGATTTTGAGGCATAAAATGGGGGGGAAGGAACTCATTAAGGATGTTTATAGTTATTCTACATTAAAATAATACTTCAGATAGTTGAGTTAAAAAAATCTATTAAAAATTAATTTCACCTGTTTCTTCTTACCTTTTTAAATGTGGTTAGTAGAATTTTTTTTTAAATTACCTACGTGGCTTTCATTGTATTTCTACTAGATGGTACTGGCTGAAAAGAATGAAGCAATAACACTGATTATTCCTGGGGAGTGGGACTGGGGAGAAATTTTGATAAAGAGGACAGGGAATAGGGACACTGACCTTTAGCCTAAACTCTGTTATATTTATCAAAAAACATTTAATTTAAAATTTTAAAAATCAATAACAGTTCCAGAGTCTGTACTTAATAATATTATAGCAATGCTAATGTCTTAGTTTGGGCAAATGTACCATGGTTACATAAGCTAGTTAACATTAGAGGAAACTGGTGAATGAATATAGGAATTTTGTACTATCATTGCAATTTTTCTGTAAACCCTAAAGTATTTCAAAATAAAAAGTTAAAAAACAATAATAAGGAAACAGCAATCTAACAACATGTGTATCTTCCATTTCATAGATTCTTACTTAGTCTTTCTATGGTCAGGAAGGCAGACAGGAAAACATTGCTCTAATGCTGAAATCTCATTTTCTATTACAAAAGAAAATAATTCGAACAATTATAAGGCTCCAAATCGGCTGTCCCACCCAAACTGCCTCTTGTAAACACACTTGCTTAAAATAAGGGAACTAGGATAGCATCATATTTCTTAGTTTTTACCTGAGATTCCATAAGTTTGGATAACTCTTTTCTCCCATGGCGATCAGAAGCTATTTGGCTGCTGTTTACATAATAGGAATTGTTGAAGTCGGAGGGTTGCTGGAGAGAATGATGGAAGGCACCGCTCCCCCCAAGAACCTTTCAGAGACCCAGGTAGCTGAAGGCTTTTAAGCTCATTTCCCTTGGATCCCTACTTTAAATTTTCAGATTCAACCAATATTAAGGTCAAGATATTTTTGCTAAGACATAGTGGTGAACTTTGGGACAAAGAAATGAATCAAAAAGTCTGTATCATAATATAGCTATATATATTAGAGTATATAGTCTATTTGTTACAATATAACAAAACTGTGGGAAACAATCTTCCCCTATGTTTATACTACTTTTTACTGAAGTGTTTTCTGAACAAGAACTAAATTCAGCATGCAGTTGATCAGTAATGGCAAATGAAACTGCAAGTAAAATTTAAAACAGATTAGATATAGATGTATAGATTATGGATATTTCAGAGCTGATCAAAAGAAGGTAAACACTGCATTGGAGTATAAAATATCTCTATTTTACATGAACTGGGTTTAAAATGAATGAAAAAGTACAAACACAAAATGTAGAAATTACAAAGGACAATGTATCAACTTATCATGAAACAGCTTGCAGGTATAGAATATAAAACTATAATGAAATATTTTCCAAAGGTGACCCACCCACAAAACAATTACATTAAAATAATGTGCACTTTTAAACAGATGTCCCACTGCCACCACACATGAATAGCTTAAATAATCATTTAAAAAAAAAAACTCACTGCTTTCTCTGGAAAAGGAGAGTCACACCATAAGCAGAAGGAATTTGAACAAGAATTCACAAAAGATTATCACTGCTATGAGTAAATGAGTGACTTGGAATGATCTCTATAATTGTGGTCACCATTACTGAAGAAATGGCACAGAGGATCTACAAGCCTGAAACATTTCTGATTCATATTGCTTCTTGGCATAGATTTTCCAGTGAAAATGGACTAAAATCTGAGCCAAGCTTGAGAACCTTTCAGCCAAATGATCCAGCTGCCCCTTCCCTTTTCCTCTCCTCCCAGCTAGGTCCCAGAAAAGGATGGTGGAAAAATCTCAAAAATTGCTGCTCTAGGGCATCTATCTATACTGATCTCCAGAAGGATACAGATTTTCTGAATAGAAACTGGAGCCAAAAGTGTGTTCAGCTTCATTTTTCAAATTTATATTTAAATGAAAATTAAGTTTAAATGAGCATAGGCATGAGGGGGTACCCAAAAATCAACTAAGGAGGGATTGAACTGCTTGGAACTTCTGCCTCAGGAATCCCAAATCTAGAAGGAAGTGATATGCAGATAAAACATGGTTTCACCATGTTTCTCAGTCTCAAAAGATCCAGGAGCCCCCTCTCATCCTGTGGATCTCCTATGGAAGAAAAATCCTAAACTTCTAAGAGCAAGCCACACTTTCAATCTTATTTGACTGTTTTTAATTAAGTGACCACTTCTCTCCTGGGCTCTTTGTAGTAGTCTTGTAGGGGTTCTTTCTCCTTTCTGCCAACTTCCCCTTTCCACATCATTGACATAGAGTAGATCCTACTCTGAAAACCGGGATTCCAGTTCTGGCTTTACTGCCAGCCTTGATCTTGAATCTAACTATCCGAGTCTTCATTTCTTTCTGTGTTCAGGAAGGCAGACAGGAAAACATTACTCTAATGCTGAAATCTCATTTTCTATTACAAAAGAAAATAATTCAAACAATTATAAAAGCACATAAAAGGAAAAAGTCTGTCTCATGGCCATTTACCCCTATGGGGTTGCCATATTAATTTTGGTATATTCTTCCAGATTTCTTTAAGGTGAAAGAAAAAAAACCTTCTTTTTTTTTTTTTTTTTTTTTTTTGTTAGCAAGATAGCGTTCTCCTCAAACAAGTGACATAAGCTCTCTGAGAGTAGGGATTTTGTCTATTTCCCTCATGGCTGTATTTCTAGGGACTAGAACAGTGTCTGGCACAAAGTAGATGCCAATAAATGCTCACTGACTAAATGAATGGAATGAAACCTCCTTACATCCGATCAAATACAAGTTCTATGGGGTCAGGGATATGTCTGTCTATTTGGTATCTCTCTAGGGTCTCAGCACCAGAGTACCTGACATACAGTAGACACTTAAATATTCATTCAATTAGCAAAACACCTCAATGAGGAAACCACTTAATTCTTTTTAACTGCACCAGCATGCTGACATCACAATAACCGACTATTCCCCAGTTGATGAAAAAAGTCTCTGACAAGCACCATTGCAATGATCATCCCGTATATATTACCCTTGTTTAAAGATTTTTGTTGGGTAAGAATCTCTTTCTCCTGGGGAAACCATTGAGCTGGTCTCAATATGTTCTGAGGTCCCTTCCCTCTAGAATTTCATAACTTTAAAATACTTATGATTAACTTTTAGTCTTGTATGAGAGCTACTGCCTATAATTTTGCAAAATGATCTCCCTTCTATATCTCTCTGTAGAAAGCCAGTACTTCCTAAAACCGTCTAAAAGCAGCCTGAACATTATGACTCACACAAGACTGCCAGAAAGACTCTTAGAAGAAAACAACCTGCCTACATCCTTGGTGACCAACATTTTCTGCTTAGAGCATGGTAGCTGTTTAGTTATTACCTGGGGAGGGGTGGTTTTAAGGCAGCAGCAGGTCTTTATTGTTGATTCTTTATGTGCTAAGGAGGTTCAGCAGAAAGAGGAATATTGGGGTGCCTGGATGGCTCAGTCAGTTATGTGTCTGACTCTTGATTTCAGCTCAGGTCATGATCTCAGGGTTGTGAGATTGAGCCCCACATGGGGCTCCATGCCAGGCATGGAGCCTGCTTAATATTCTCTCTCTCCCTCTCCCTCTGCCCCTCTCCAAAAAAAGAGAAGAAGAAGAAGAAGAAGAAGAAGAAGAAGAAGAAAAGAGAAGAAGAGAAGGGAAGGGAAGAGGAAAGAAGAGGAGAAGAGGGGAGGGGGGAGGGGAGGGGAAAGGAGGAGAGGAGAGGAGAGAAGAGAAGAGAAAGGAGGACACAGACAAGAGAGTAACAGACCTCCAAAGGCCTGAGCTGGAGATGATGCTAAGAAACAAACACCACTTTGAACTGGGTAAGAGCAGATATGGGATCTTAGGAGTATCTGTGAGTTCTCCGAGAAGAGCTCTATCTAAGCCCTGCAATGGAAAAGACTACAGAAGGCTACATTTCTTATGTTTTTTCACTCCAAAGATTATTTAGTAAATTTCTGTGATGTGTAAGAGCTGTGTCAGGCACTGGGCAGGCAACAAATAAGCAAGATAAACAGAGTCGCCACCACCTTGAAATTGAAGCTTGGGGACTACAGTCTTTCCACCAAAGACTTGATGCTGATAAATATAGATTGCTGGATGGAGGCCTTTGCCTTCTTTCCACCAGAATTTGTGTCCCAGTCACTGCTTCTTCTTCTTCTATGAAAAACAGAGTTCCAGTTCTCTCCATGAATGGAGAAGTTGCTGGGAGATATTTCCCGTTGAGTGCGCCCCAGACAAAACTTGGCACAACACACTCAGAGCACACTTCCTTTTTCTCTGGGAGCTCCTGCCACACCACAGGAACTGATGGGCAGTCTACCTAACTGGCAAAGGAGAGCTCTGCAGTGACACTGTCAAAGAATCAAGATTCAGAGAAGCATAAGTCTTGAGACTCAGAGAGAACATTCGAGACCATCTCCTCCCCCTCCAGTAGCTTAACTTTTTATAGGTCACAGATCTCTTTGAAAATCAGCGGCCCCTTTTGACTTTCTGTCCAAAAAGACATGCATGTATCTCAACATGTAATTTTTCCTATATTTTCAGGAGTTTTGTGGATCCATCATGTGACTGAATTTCCCAGCATTTCAGGGACCGCATATTAAGAATTCCTACTCTATATAAAAGCCCATTTGAGCTCTAATGCTCCTATTAAGCAGTCTCTGAGTTGGGTAGCCCTGGTGGCTGAAACACAGAGGTAATGTTGTGCCTAACTACAGTGCAGGTCACAGTTCCCTCCCTGTGGGAGCTAATTATCTTCAGAAAATGTAAAAACTCTGCTCGGTGGCTGTGGACAGAGTCTCTAAAACCAATGAGCTGACACATTTCATAGTTTCCAAAGATGAAACCACACTCAAAAATGACATAGTGGGATCTGGTGGCCTTTAAAGAGTTAAACTTCTAGGTTGTCAGGATTGCTGCCCATTGTTGACATAGCAGTAGTATTCATATGGATCTTCCATTTCATATATGTTCTCTTCAATGATATAGATGTTTTCCTGCAAGTGCATTCCTCCTGCTCCTGTATTTGTTAACCCCGAGGGAGGGAGGTTGGCCAAAGTGACGAGGCTGTGGAAAGAAATGTTGCAGTTGAGTTCAGCATCTCCTAGGCAGCATAGAATAGAGTTAAGACAACAAGCTTGGCTGAAGAGACAACAACCAAATGTAGCCCATGATCCTTGATCAGGTCCTAACTAGGAGGAAAAGGCCATAATACATCAATAAAATAATGTGTGGAACAATTGAGGAAATTTGAATTCATCTTCATTTTCTTAAGCACAAAAATGGCATCGTATTATAAGGAGGGACAGAATGAGGTGTTGAGGTGAAGTGTCAAGATGCCTGAAATGCCCTTACAAATGGTTCAGGAAAAAAACTGTTTATATAAACAGAGAAACAGACCAAGCAAGTACATCAAAATGTTAAATCACGAGTTTCCTTGAAAGTTTCTATTGTTCCTTGTACGGTAACTTCAGTTCTTCTGTGGGCTTGAACAATTTCAAAAAGAAAAAAAATATGAATATGTAATGGACCCAATCAGACTTGAGTTTGAATTCTGTCTCTTAACCAGCCATATGACCTTGGGTAAATTGGGTGGCTGATTGTTTCTTTTTTCATTCACTCAATCCAGAAATATTTAATGTGTTACATATTGTTCTAAGAAGCAAGAAATGCTTCAGTGAACAATACACGAAAATCCCATGAAGGCTGCATGTTAGTAAACTTTGCGTCTCAGTGTCCTAGTCTATAAAATGGGAATAATAAGCATTCTATTTCACAGGGCTGCCATAAGGAATATTTATTCACTCAATCATCAGATATTTAAGTGCCTACTAAGCATCATGTGCTGTATCAAGGGATATAGATGCTAATGTGGCAATAATGCCTTAATTTTCTATGAGGTTACATATATAGATAGAGATGAACATTAACCAAATAATTTCAACCAAATAATGAATTAATGCATGTAAATATTACCTATGGGTAGTATCACATTTCAAGTTTCAGCTCTAATAACAAATCCTGGTACAGATGATTGAAAGCCAATGATAATTAAATATTTTATTTGGCCTTATTGGACTTTTTTACTGTAGAGTATTTTGTCTTCATAAATACACTATCTATACTTTGTCTATAATTACTCGTGGTTTAGATAGTATTCAATAGGCAGAGTCATTTTTTTTTTACTGCATTCTACCCATGTACCAAATATCACTAAATTCTACTAGAAGTTATTTAAGCTTTGTGTATTTGGAATGGACGTGTGTGTGCATGTGTGTATATGTATACATGTGTATATAGTCAAAAATGGATACCAAGACTGCAGTATAATAGACCCGTAGATCTTAACCCTGTTCCCACACTAGTATGACCTGGAAAACTTTTAGAAAAACACCTATGCTTAGGTCTCATCCCCAAAGATTCTGATTTATTTGCTCTGGGGTTGGCAGCAATATGTTCAAGTGCCCTAGGTGATTCTAATAGACATGTAAGTTAAGAATGCCTGGGCTTAGCTATAAAAGCCCTAAGAGTAGATTCTGGGTTTCTTGCTCACTTTTGTAACCCAGTGCCCAACGAGAGCCTGAATGTAGCTCAATCACTGGAAGGGTCAATTCATTGGGAAAATATATATATATATTAATATACAATAAAAGCACTTCCTATCAATAGCGAGATGAATTCTGTAACTTTAGGCAAGGAAGCTAGAGAAATAAGAAAGGAAAACAGAGCAGTGTTTAACTGGTATTGCATTAATCCATGCCTAAGGTAGGAACGAAGTATAAGTTTAAATCCTAGGGCAGGACTTCTAAGAGCAAAGCCATAGAGTAGGGGCCTCCAAGATTCCCACCTTCCCCTACCCCACCCATTATTCTTACCTTGAATTCTGTAACTTCTCTTTTCTATAAGAATACCCTAGGTAAAAGGTGGAAGAAAAGTCGATTAAAAATGCTCTCATAAAACAAATGAGATAAGAAATAAAATGAACACACTGGAGGCAAGGATTGTTTAGGGAAATCTGGTCTCCCCTTGGATTGAAATAAATCAAACTACCAGTGTGTGTCTTGATTTATTACATGGATAATGCCAGTAAGTAATAAAGATGCATTTCTTACATTCAGCAAATATATGGAAAATCTACTATGTGCCTGGTAGTATGCTAGGCACTGGGGATGCAAAAGTGAATTGTGAGCCCTGACTTCTTAAAACTTGTGTTCTAGTGAGGGAGGCATTTAAAATAATAACCTCTAATGGTGGAACTAACAATGTACTGGAACAGATGACGGAGAAGGCAGTCAGGAAAAATCTCTCTGAAGAGGTGAATTTTAAGCTCAGTTCTGAACAAAGAGAATATGTCAGCCAAGTGAAGAGCCAGGGGGAGAATTCAGGTAGAGGGAACCCCTAATAAAGATGATGGTGGGTTCCTGAAACTGAAATAAGAGAGTGGCCCAAGATAAGTTCTGAGAGCTAGGCTGGGGCTAGCTTCAAAGGACCCTTTAAGTCATAATCAAGATTTTGGATTCTATTCCAAGACCTTTAAGATATAATTGGAGAGCAGAAATATGAGAGCTGATTGGGTTTTAAGATCACCCTAGCTGCTATGTGAGGAAAAGATAAAAGGAGGTATAAAAAAAAAAATGAAGAAGTAGAGATCATGATGCCTCAGATCAGAGTAAGGTGGTGACCAAGGGAGATGCAGAATAATAAATGGATTTTACATGTATTTTGGAGAAAGTCTGCAGGAATTAAAACTGGATTTTGTCTTAGGAGGAAACAGGATTCAAGGACGTCCTCTGGCTTTCTGGCTTAAGCAACCAGATGGATGGTAGAAAAACACTATAATGGGGAAGACCAGAGAGACAGAAGTTGTGTTCTGGGAAGGTGGAATATGGACTCTAGACCTCCATTTTGGACATGTTAAATGTGGGAGACATCTAAGTGGAGATATCAACAATACAAACACTCTGAGTTGGAGAGGGAAATTAAGGATGACCTGTAAGCCTGTGGAAATATAGATCATCACCTAAAGGGTGTAGAAGAAAGGGAAAGGGCCAGCCCTGAAGAATATCAACATCTAAAGGTCAAGCAGAAAAAGAAATAACAAAAATGACTGAAAAGAAATGGCCAATGAAGTAGGAGAGTGGTGTTCTAGAAGGCCAGAGAAGGAAGACTTTATAGAATGAGTGAGGATTGATTTGGTTAAATATTGCTAAAAGATTGACAACAATGAAGACAGAGGTGTCTACTGGATTTAGAAAATGGAGGTCGTCGGTGAGCTTGACTAAAACTATTTCCTCGGTGCTTCGGGTGCAGAAGCTAAAGGATGGGTTGGAGGAGTTCAGGGGATAAGAAGTAGGAAAAACTCATCTGAGAGATTTGCCTGTGAAGGAGAACAGAGAAACGGGAGTAGCTAAGGAGGAATGTGTGAGTTAGAACGTATTTTTATGCTAATGACAGTAGAATAAATAGAAAGGAAGAGGTAGATGATTCCAGAGAAAGGGGTAAAAGGAGGAATGAAGTCTTGGCTAAGGCAAAGGTGAAGGAACAGGTCTTTGATACTTCATCAGTTGAGTGAGAAATGAGGGAGGTTTGAGTAGTACTGAGGTGTGGATGCTCATTGCAGAGAGCGCACTAGAAAGATACAGGATTGCCGGTTGTATTGCTGCCAGTTAATGGCTTTGATGTCCTGACTTAAACACCTGTCACCTTGGTTTTAAACCTCACTTCAAGCCTCTTTAAATGAACTAGAATGGCCCCTAATATCCAGGCCATGGCAGAACTCAGAAAGGTAGTGAGGGCTATTATTGCTCTTGATCAATCTGTAGGCGTTACATTCATGTGATCGATTCACAAACTCCCCTGCTACCTCTCAGTAAACCCAGGTAAGTGTGGATGGGGTAGCTTCTTTCTTTGAACAATCCATTTACCGATAATGGCAGAACAGCATAATGGAGAGGAACAGGAGAATCTTGTCTTCAGATTCCATATCTATCAATTAACCATATGACTTTGGACAGCTGCTAGTTCTCCATTTGGTAAATTAGAATATAATATGAGTATCTTTCTCAGGAGGGTAGTTATGAGGATTTAATGCACATAAAGCACTCAGCAGCTTTAAGCCGCACAACTAGGGTGACCAATTCGTCCTGGTTTTCCCTGCACTGTCCCAGTTTTAGCACTGGAATCCCACAACCTAGGAACCCCGTCATACCTGGGAAAATCTGGGATGTTTGGTCACCTGATATGCCATCCATGTTTAAGTATTAGTAGGAAAGGCTGCTAGAATGTACTAAGCCCTGTGGTATAAGGCCTTGGCCTCTGCCCTCGAAGAGAAGACAATATATTGCAATTACAACAGTGTGTGAGGCTTCTGGGGCAATGGCAATAGTTGGGTCTTGATTGTAGTGATAGGTCCCAAAGTGTGATTCTCTACTGAAATTCATCAAGTTGAACATACTTTAAATATGCAGTTAGAGTATATAAACCAGGTGTGGGGCACTGTCGGCCACACGGGCCGGGCTGCAGGGTCTGCGGGCCAGTTGCTGGGCTCTTCGAGGTGCAATAGAGCCCTATGAGGTGAAGATGAATGAAGGTTGTCCTGATGTTTTCCAGAAACTGTTCACAGGATGGCTCTGATAAAACCACTAGGACCACAACTGCATGTAATGAGCATATAGGTAGTACAGATGAATATTCAAGTGCAAAACTATTGTGGTTAAAATTCATTGCCTCAAAGCCATGCAATTGGAAGGAAAAAAAGAAGAATTGGTCAAGAAGACATGAATTGAAACAGATGAATATTAATATTTAACATTGATCACCTCACAATAAATTATATAGAAAAAAAAGAGTATATAAACCATACCTTAAGGTTTTTTTAAATAAAAATAACTTAGAAAACAATGTGTGTGTGAGTGCCATGAAGCAAAACACAAATGCTGTAATCCCGGCCAATGGCCCATTGGTAAAAGGACTTGTCATCTCTCTCTAAAGACCTGTGCTAAGGAACAAATAAGATAGGAAAATTCACAGAAAGAAACTACGTTTGTTGTTGTGCTTCCTAATAAACCTAATGCATTACTTAAAGAGTTTTGTGTTCCTAGCCAAAGGTAAGAGACTAGGTGCTAGAATCAGCCTGCCTGGGTTTGAATTCCAGCTTTGCCTCTTAGGGATTCTGAAAACTTGGCAAAGCAGCTTACTCTCTCGTAGCTCTACTTCCTACATTACAAAATAGTTATAAATACTTCCCACTGCATAAGACGGTGATGATAAAATGGAGGTAAAAACATTTGGCACAATGCCTGCATATTACACGGTAAACGTTGAGTAAAAAATAGCTATTACTATTGGTAGGTTCAGGAGGACTACAGAGTATTCAGTTTTATCACCTTCAGGTATAAATATAAGCTTATATTTATATCTAGGTTTGTGTTGTTTCCTTTGTTAACAGTTCCTCATCAGAGAGAGAGAGAAGCAACATGAACCAACTTACATGTGAGAATTAAAGCGCCAATGATAAGAAGGAGAGCCAGTCCAGCAGAGATCCCTGCTCCGATGTAGACAGCCATTCTGGTGGTCGTACCAGCGTCTTGTAACTCATTAGCCCATGTAGGTATTTGCTAGGGAAACACAAACTGGACTGCAGCAGATGGCCAGAAATCAGTTGTGTGCTCAGCCACTCTCGTGACTTGTGCACCAGACAGTCCCTTTTACAGCACCACAGCGGTGCAGGGACCTTGAGACTACTCGTGACGTGTCTCCTTCCAGACAGGCCTCAAACCACCAAAGAAAGGGATGAGCATACTCTTCAGAGTTAGTAAGGGAATAAAATGTGTCACTTCTATGCTGTTAGGGGCACAAGGAGCCCTTAGTAAATGGAATCCCCTCCCCCTCAAATAAGAATGGGCTTTAGAGTGGAACCCCATTCATTCAAGGTCCCTGGCATTCCAGGGAGTTTCAGAGTGGTCAAAATTTGGTGTCTTGCAGAGAAACACCCACACTCACAGAAAGACAGCGATTTAAGAGCCGGGCCTTTGCAGTCAGACAGTTCTGAGTTCAAGCCCCAGCTCTGCCACCATTGTGTAGAGTTCTTGGGAAAATTAGGTGATGAGATATATAAAATGCTTGGCACAGGGCCTTGTATACAAATAAATGCTTAAGCAGTGACAACTATTATGGCTATTGCTCTAATCAATTGGATTTTTTAACTGAGAGTCAGAAAATTCTTCTGCTTTCAAAACTTCAGCCGATGTTCCCCCTTTAAAAACAATAATAGTAAACACTTTTAAAACAAAGATGCAGGGGCACCTCGGTGGCTCAGTTGGTTAAACGACTGCCTTCGGCTCAGGTCATGATCCTGGAGTCCTGGGATCAAGTCCCGCATCAGGCTCCCTGCTCAGCAGGGAGTCTACTTCTCCCTCTGACCCTCCCCTCCTCATGCTTTCTCTCTTTATCTCCTTCTCTCTCTCCCAAATAAATAGATAAAATCTTTAAAAAAAAAAAGATGTCAAAGGAATTAAATCTTCCATTTACTCAATAAACATTTACTGCAGGAGTGCTATATGCAAGATACTACGCATTAAACACTATGGATGTCCAGAGGTACTTAGAGTCAGTCCTTGGTCGCAGAGAGGGGGAGGGACAAACACAAAGTGCTGAGCCTCGGTAGTGAACACACAAGTAGGGGACTTAGTCAAATGAAGGCAGACTCCTGGATATGTCCCCAAAGAATCTCTAAGTCGCTACTGTAAGCTTGCTATCTAGGGGATTCCCTTTTATTCTGAAAAGGTGGGAGACACTAAATTTGTGGTTAATTAAAATATTGATTTATTTATAGTTGGATATAGAAATTCTTGGCTTAAAATATTCCTGACTGGTGTCTTGTCACATATAAAAAAATTTAAATAATCTTTCTCATTAGGGTTGCCATGGAAATGAGAAGAAATATACTCTAGGGAGCTGGAGGGTCCTTGAACCATCCACAGTGGCATACAGTTCTGAAATAGGAGAAGAGGGACAAGGGGGTAGTGTTTCTTCATTTGGGTTTCCCAGCACTTACCACGTGCTGGGCACTTTACCTCCATCCCCTCATTTCACCCTTACAATAGGCCTATGCAGTTAGAACTGGTATCATCAACATGTCACAGCCAAGGGCTCTGAGGCTAAGGGAGATTAAGGCATTTTTTCTTCCCCAAGCACAGAGCAAACAAGAAGGAAGACTAAAGCTGAACTTCCTTTTCTCTGGGTTGAGCATGAGGTTAGTGCACACACCCACATACACACACACACACACACACACACACACACAAAGTCACTTACTGTTTGTTGGTTATCATGGAGGGCCTCCAGTGTCTGTGTCTCTGCCATAAAGAGAAAAAAAATAGCCAAAAGAACAGTTTAGAATGTTTTCTTTTATCTGGCTTTTTAAAAAATCCTAAAGATGCCTATGCCTATAATCCTATTTGAAATTAATTTTACTCTATACTCTTCACAACAATTTATTGTGAGAACAAAATTTTCTAAACACTTGCAAATCAATTTTAGGATGACCGTATCTTTTTTAACCAGATAATGAACCCAACTACTTAGGTTCCATGAAAAGGAGACCTCTGCCAGGAAGACCTCTGTTGAGTATGTGGTTTGTTGTGTCCACAGGGCCCCAAAGAGGGCTGCAGAATTCCAACAACATTGATAACACTCAAGCAGGCATTATATTGTAATTAGACTTTGAAAGATAACAAGTTAATTTTCCTGAAAAAATTTAACCTTTACTCATTAAGAGGGAGACAGGATATTTAGTTGTCTAAAAAGGAAAATAATAATAACCATGGCTCTAATTTATCATGAGCAGACATTGTGCTAAATTCTTTGAGCAAGGGATCTCATTCAGCGTACAAAACAATTATCCTAAAGTAGGGACTATTAGGCCCATTACACAGATGAAGAAGCTGAGAATTCAGAAGGGAAGGGACTTACCCAGGGTTACACAGCTTAATGAATAACAGAAATGGCCTTCCAGTTTAGGTCTGCATGGCTTCAAACATATACTCTTAACTATGCTGCCTTCAACAACCTTCACCTTGGCACGGTCACTACTAAGTGGTCACATCGCCCAGTTGCCAGCTCAGCTTCTTTCCTTTTTACCATTTATTTATTTGTCTATGTATTTGATGAACATGTCTATACCCCTACTCTGTGCCAGGCACAGGGAGCAGAGCGGCCAACAGCATGGGCACAGGCCACAACCTCACAGACACAGCCTTCTAAAAATCAATAGATTGTCAGCCTTGGGAAAATTAAGGATGCCTGCGCCTGTCTCTGGCTGAGTCGGAGGCTCTGAAACTTCTTTTTTTTTTTTAATTTTATTTTATTATGTTATGTTAGTCACCATACATTACATCATTAGTTTTTGATGTAGTGTTCCATGATTCATTGTTTACGTATAACACCCAGTGCTCCAAGCAGAACGTGCCCTCTCTAATACCCATCACCAGGCTAACCCATCCCCCAGCCCCGCTCCCCTCTAGAACCCTCAGTTTGTTTCTCAGAGTCCATAGTCTCTCATGGTTCGTCTCCCCCTCCGATTTCCCCCCCTTCATTTTTCTCTTCCTACTTTTTTTTTTTTTAACATATAATGTATTATTTGTTTCAGAGGTACAGGTCTGTGATTCATCAGGCTTACACAATTCACAGCGCTCACCATACACATACCCTCCCCAATGTCTATCACCAGCGGCCCCACCCCTCCCACCCCCCACCACTCCAGGCTCTGAAACTTCTTAAATGTCATGGCCACTTTCTGAAAGCCTAAAGGTCTAAGTCCTTTCATGTAGAGCCCCTGGTTTAACAAACCATGATTTTAATACTAAAATTTTAATATTCTCAGCCTAAAAATATTTTTTAAAAAAGGAAATAAAAGAGATTCTCTTCCACTTACCTTTGCTCTTATTACTACCCAAAAGGAATTTAAAGTGTAAAAAGCACATTGGTGGAACTGCTAAGTAAACATGAATCTTAACCACACATAAGATTTTCTAATGTAATTCCAGTTTCTGCTTCCCTATAATTATTTTTCTTGGTCTAAAAGGTAAGACTGACTTCTATTTTTTTTTCAATTTACAGTGAAAATACTCCGACAGCACTCTATTTTATTGATTATCACAGCTTAATTTTGCATAGATAGCCATCAACCAAGGTGACTGGCACAGTTAGAAAAATCTGCATTGGTTTCCCTAGAGAACCCAAGACTCGGCTGGAGTGGAGAGGGTAATAGGGGTGGGATGCAATGTTCTTAAAAGTACATAAAACTATAGTTACCATCTAGCACATATTACCTGCCAGACATGGTGCTTAGCACTTTATTTGCATAATAGCTTTTAATCTTCACCTCAATATATAGGTACTATTATTTTTCCATTTTTCAGATGAAGAACCTGAGTCTCAGAGAAGTACTTTCCCTAAGATCACACAACCAGTAATTGGCAAACCTGAGATTCAAACCAAGTCTACCTTCAGAGCTGAGGACTCACCATAACCTGGTTCTGCCTCCTTCAGGTGGAAGAGACAGGACATTGTTTTGTGTTCAAGGTATGTTTAGGAGCTTCCAAGACTCTTGGAACTTTTACTTGTTAATGCTCCACTCCACTTAATAGCAAACATATTCAATGTACCCACGTTCCACACTAAAAGAAAAGGTATATATACCTACACCAAGTTGACTTGCAAGAGGAGACCCCATCTTTGTTGCCCTAGAGGGAAGGAACTAACAAGTAAAAACTCAAGAGAAAAGGACTTGTTTATGATCTCGACAACCCTGAGGAAATGCACTGCCTCGTGAGGAAGGTGTGTGGGCATACAGTGAATGCCCACTTGGTGGTGACATTGTAAAGAACATTGGAGGCCAGGATGGGAACATGGGCATACAATAAATATGGGGTATGACTTGATTAGGGTTAATTACAGGGAAGCAGAAACTGCATTTGCATTAGAAAATCTTGCGTGTGGTTAAGATTCATGTTTACTTAGCAGTTCCACCAATGTGGTTCTTAAACTTTAAATTCCTTTCGGGATGAGGGTTGTCATCTGGCCCCACCATATTTAGTTTTCTCACTAATTGCATAAGAGATATTGGCTACCAATCACTAAAGAACCACCAAAGATTAAGCCAGTAGAGAGCTGGAGTTAATACTTATAATAATAACTAATATTCCAGTGCTTTCTGTGAGCCAGGTACTACACTGAGCACTTTGCATACATTGTCACACTCAATTTTTACAACAATCTTATGCAATAAACACTGGGATTACCCCCAGTGAAGAGGTAGGGAAATTGAGCCGCATAGAGTTTGAGCAGTTTTCCTTTGAGCTCACAAAGGTAGTATGAAGAGCTGATATTGGAACCCTGTCACTGACATACTTAACCACAATCTCATTCTGCCTCCAGATCTTACTGGTCACATTAAAGACAATAAGCAACATGTACTGAGTACATACTATGACCAAATACTGGGCTAAGCACTTGAGACACCCTTTCTTACTTAATATCTCATGAGGTGGGACTTAAGAGATTTATGAGATTAAGATACGGGATGTGCCGGTCATTACCCTCATCTTACTGAATGGAAGACTGAGCTCCAGAGAGTATAAGAAGGACCAGGAATCTGACAGGAGACATTTAAGATTAATCTCCCTGCTCAGTGTGACCTGAGGTCTGCTCAGTGTGACCTGAGGTCTGCTCTTTTGACCCCATCTTCTCTACCAGAGCAGCATGAAAAAATCCTTGCCAAATTACTCAAAGAATTTAGCTGCTCTTCCTGAGGCTGGAATCGAAAGAAGATGGTGGGCTTCATTCTCGTTAGAAGAGATCCTTAAATCACTGAATCCAACCCCAAATATGGACTTGAGCCAATCCATGACAAAACATCCCAGTTTGGGAGTCAATTGGAAAATAATGACAATGTAATGAGTTTTTTATTAGATTAAATTTATTTAATTTATAAACATGTCTTTTTTAATGCAATAATAGCATTAGTAGAATTTTTTTTTCTTATGTGGCAAAATATGTAGATCACCAGAATTTTGGTTTTGGGGGGAGTGGGAATTTTACTAGGTTACAAAATCCAAAGTCTCTAAACCCTCTCCTTGGAGAGAACAAGAAGCAGAGATTCAGAGAAGTGAAAGGTTTCGGCCAGGTCACAGGGCTGCTTGTGACTAATTCCGAATCCTAGCTCAGGACCCCTTTTTCCCAGCAAAGGTTTGTCCCCACCACTCCCCTCCCCACGCACAACATCTCATGTGCCCAGGGATATTCACGCCTCCACTCAAACCCTTTTCTCCTCTCTTTCCCATACTCAAAATCCTCCGAACTCTGAAAACACCTGAGGGCTTCCTGCTACACTTCCCATATCATTACCTGCGCCATGTCCCTTGGTGGTGAGCATCCGTGGAAAGGCTGCAGTGAAGTCCTTCCATGGAGTCCGAGCAGAGGTGACCTTGGCTAATAATCAGAATAATAATCACATAAGGATGTGGCTCCTCTGAGAGCAGAGAGATTGTGGCAGGGAATCAAAGGGGCAGCAGAAAAAATAGGAAACGCGACAAATGAAGAGAAGCAGATGCCCAACTGCCAAACCTACCTGAACACCTTCCTTGAGAGTGTACGACACTCTTAAATTGTTGGGCAGAGGCGTGTTACAGTCATCATTGCCACAGTCTAATTGTTAATAATAGAACTAACAGCCACCCAAATGGCCATGCTAAATGCTTTCCATAAAACACCTCATAAAATCCCTCCAGGGGCCTGCATGGTAGGAATTACCATATTTCACAGAGGAGGAGTTCACGGAGTTTGGATAACTTGCCCAAGATCACACAGATAGTTAAAAGGCAAAGTTGGATTTGAACTCAGCTCCATCAGCCACACACTATATGCTCTATAAATCTTTTTTTTTTTTAAGATTTTATTTATTTATTTATTTAACAGAGAGAGACACAGCGAGAGTGGGAACACAAGCAGGGGGAGTGGGAGAGGGAGAACAGGCTTACCAAGGAGCAGGGAGCCAGACGTGGGGCTCCATTCCAGGACCCTGGGATCATGACCTGAGCTGAAGGCAGATGCTCAACAGCTGAGCCACCCAGGCACCCCTATGCTCTATAAATCTTAAAACGTGTGAGCACATGCACCCCACCTGTACACTGTCCAGTGGTTCTCAATCCTGGCTGCACAAGGGGGAGAATCGTTTAAGGTAGACTTTGGAAAATCCTAGTGCTGGGGCTTTACCTCCAGAGATGCCATTTCTCTGGTTCGTGGGTAGGGACCAAGGACCTATAGGTGTTAAAAAACTGTCCAGGTGATTCTAATGAGCAGTCAGGTTCTCGAACCACCAATCTTGACTTTCCTCCCATTCTGTAGATCCTGTCCATGAGTTTTAAAATAGATGAAGGTAATTAAAAGTGGCTGGCCATCGCTGGTGGAACATGTTAAACTTCAGGTCTTAGTGACCCACCCCCACGGCTGTAACTGGGGAGATCAGAAGAGAGACCAAGCAGTATATTTACTATTGCCTGCAGGTGATTTTATTCAAGAAGGCATGCAAAGGTCCACTCACCTGGTTTGATGAACAATTCCACGTTTAATTTTTTATCATTCATTGGGCCGGGGAATTGGATCCGGCAGCAATAGGTCCCACTGTCTGTTTTAGTCACGTTCTCTATAGTCAAGGACACATCTCCTTTGTGGATATTCCTCTTTAGCTGGTATCTGTTGGATGTCTGATATTTCAAGTTCCTTCCATCTGTGCTGAGCACCATACTATGACATTCAAACACAGGACAGGGTCCCCTGCCCCAGCAGACAGGCACAAGATCATCAGAAGTGGTTGGAGAGTAGGTGCAGGGTATATCAGCATTCTGACCCACTTCAGCTACGTATACCCCTTCCAAAGACCCTAAATAGACAGGGAAAGAGAGGAAGATCAGGCAATGAGTGAGGTTGGTTGGTTTCAAGAAAACTGTAATGCCTTATAGAATAAAAAGCAAACCAGTGCTGCCATCCTGTTTGGAAGATGATTCATTATGACAATGATTCTCAGACTTGAGGAGCATCAGAATCACTGGGAAGATGTATTAAAACACAGATGGCTGGGCTCAACTGCTAGAGATCCTGATTCAATAGGTCTGGGGTGGGGTAAAAGAATTTGAATTTCTAGCAAGTTCCCAGGAGCTGTTGAGATGGCCAGTCTTGGAAACTCACTTTGAAAACCAATGCCCTAAGAGAGAATTGTGGTCCAACCCTGTGAACACTGGAGGGTAAGGCCAATGGAAATAGATAATCAGAAAATGAGTCATTGTCAGCCAGTAAAACAGCTCAGCGGTCTGGGCTAGTTGGCCGCTCATTGAAGAAAGGCAGTTAAACTGACATAAATCTCTCTCTCTCTTTTTTAATTTTTAAATTTTTTTAAAGATTTTATTTATTTATTTGACAGAGAGAGAACATAAGCAGGGGGAGTGGCAGGCAGAGGGAGAGGGAGAAGCGGACTCCCAGCTGAGCAGAAAGCCTGATGCGGGGCTCGATCCCAGGACCCTGAGATTGTGATCTGAGCCAAAGTCAGACACTCAACCGACTGAGCCACCCAGGCGCCCCTCTCTCATTTTTTTTAAGCACTTGGCACATAATGAATAAAAACCATTGGCTGAATATGAAGCTTGTGTATTTGAAACCACTCAGGCTATTTTGAGGTTTAAAATTAATTGCCTTTACATATACATATTAATAAATATATGTATATAGTAAAATCTTTAAACCATATAAAAGGTATATGAGAAGGATACTCCCTCTCTCTCCTCCTTCCCATGTTCCAGTCCCCCTTCCCAGAGTCCATACAGTAAGAAGCACCCATGTATTCCCACTCCTGCAACATACATACACAAATAAAATCTAATATACGCATCCTTCCGCACCTTTTTCAATTGACATTTGGACTCAGAGACATTCCATATCTCTGTGTAGTTGGCCTCCCTGTTTGCAGCATCTATCACAGCTTACTCACCTACTCCCCCACTGGTGGGCATTTAGGTTGTTTCCAAACTTGCTACTGCAAACATTGCAATGACCATCCTTGTATCTTTATCCTGTAGTATCCAATTGTGAAGGTCCGTGCCCAGACTTACCTGTGAGTACTAGCAGCCACACCAGGACACAGTCAAAGCAAAGAGGTGAAACCATGGATTCGGAAGAGGCCAAGTCAAATAATGGCTCTGTTTAGTTTTAATTCTCCAGTGGAACTGGGTGGCTTTTGCAATACAATCTCCTCTGCAATCACAGGAGCTGTGGCCACCATCCCCAACTGCTGGCCCAGTACACCAGGACATCTGACTACCAATCTTCCCTCTGTTATTGCTTCCAAGTACACAGTTACATCAAAGGAAACCCCAGTTCTCTGTCATGCTACACCACAGACATCCTGTCAGTCTCTGGTATTTAACCCTTAGTATCAACGATGAGGAAGCGACACTCAGAAGAAGCAAAGTGTCTCTCAGTCAAGAAAACTCTCAGGCGCCTGGGTGGCTCAGTTGATTGGGTGACTGCCTTCAGCTCAGGTTATGATCCTGGAGTCCTGGGATTGAGTCCTGCATCGGACTCCTTGCTCAGTGGGGAGTCTGCTTCTCCCTCTGACCCTACCCCCTCTTGTGCACTCTCTCTCACTCTCTCTCTCTCTAAAAAAAAAAAAAAGAAAGAAAGAAAACTCTCAGCAAGTAGAGAGAGGCCTCTTAGCACCTCCAATGAAATAATCCTCTGTGTGAAATGGATGGTGTGTGGGTCCAGCTGGTTACCAGGGAACACAAGGTAGGAACATAGCATCCATGCATTCATTCAGTCAGATCAGGCTGTTGGTTGGTCACGTGACCAATGTTAATGAAGCTCGTAGCTACTGTGTGTCAGGAACTGGACAGGGAGCTGGAGAATACCAGGATGAATGGCATCTTCCTTATCCTCACATTTATGGGCCCTTTCCACTCCTTTCCTGAGCTTCATTCTTTGCCTTGTACTGACACAAATTGGGCTGTGTCATATAACCTTGCTGGATTTCGGTTCTTTCATTTATAAAATGAGGAAATTGTGTTCGGTGACATAGGTGCAGCTCCCTGCTCTAATATTCTGACTTGGACCTGAACTTTCAAACCCTTCCACTTAAGAAAGACACATTCCTTTCTGCAGTGTTTCTTTCCCTCCACCGTGGGGGGATATTGAAAGACCTCAATATTCTATTTCATCTCACGTACCCAAGGTGTCCTCTTACCTCCCACCCCCAAGGCTTCGGGCATGAATTGTCAGAAAGTGTGGAGTTCCAGCCACACTTTCCATCACGGAGGTACCATCTCAGACCCCAACCGTCTCAGCCCTGGGAGAGTGACATTTGTCTGGGAAACTTAAAAGCCAATGGTTCTTTACAAAAGTGAGCTCAGAGACTAAATAGATTCTGAAAGCCCTGTGGCCCTCCTCCATCTTTCTTGCTGAACTTGTCTCTTATCTTTATGGCACTAAATGCATTTAATGTAAATATCCAGCTCTCGTCCTATGTGTGTACTTCCCTAACATCAGAGACATAGCCATTACTCGAGAGATCGCAATCAATTTCTTCATCCTATGGATAGAGAAACTGAGACCTGATAAGGTTGATCTGCCCCAAAGGCATATGGTTGGTAATTTCAAATGAGAACTGAGTCCCCCAAGCTCCAGATTCTCTTCCACTATAAACTGTTTTATGAATTTCATATTTGCCCTTAATACATCTGCCTACTTAACTAATAACAACCAGCAAATGTCCATGTTCAAGGGGAAGGCAGAATGGATTGAACATGGGGTCAGAGGTCATGTTTACTGCATGACCCCAGGCAACACTCTTAAAAGTTTCAGCCCTCAAATTCTGTGTTCTGTTTTTTCTTTTTCTTTTATTTTTTTCTGTTTTGCTTTTTATTGTTATTACTCTGTTTTCTGTCCATCTCTAGAGTTACTACTGGAACCAGCTTTAGAAAATGTTAACAATTTATTAATTTATTGAAGTCTAGACAAAAGGAGCCTAGAAATCGACTCTAAACCCCTTCTCTTTTTTTTTTCTTTGTATAGGGAGCTGTTTCAGAGCATTTTCATGTTTATTTAACTTTTATTTGTTTCTTAAAAAAAACCCAACTGTTTAGATAATTCATCCAAATGGTTAAAATTCAAAGCAATATCAAAGCTTTATGAACAAGCCTTTTCCCACCGCCCCCCAAGTCTACCAATTTCCCCCACCCACCCTGTAGGTTTCTGTTTTCCTAAGTCTCTTGTGTATACCCCCAACGCAAACACAAGAAAATAAAATATATATTCTCATTCCCTCCTTTCTGAGACAAATTGTATATTCCTGTTGCACCTTACATTTTCTATTTACTGTTTTATAAAAAATAAACTTCTTTGACATACACAAAAGCAGAGAGAAAAGTATGAATTCCCAAAACACAGATTCAAAATTATCAACTTCTATTTTAAAAATGAATCCCAGATCATGTTTTTTCACACTTACAGACTTCGGTGTACATTTTGGTTTTTGAAAATGGACATTCTGGGGGCACCTGGGTGGCTCAATCGATTAAGGGTCTGCCTTCGGCTCAGGTCGTGATCCCAGGGTCCTGGGATCAAGCCCGACTTCGGGCTCCATGCTGTGTGGAGCTTGCTTCTCCCTCTCCCTCTGCCGCTACCCCTGCTTGTGCTCTCTTGTTCTTGCTCTCTCTGTCAAATAAATAAATAAAATCTTAAAAAAAAAAGTGGAACACCAAAACAAATTATGTAATATATGGTGATTAACATAACAATAAAAAAAATTTTTTAAAAAGTGGACATTCTGCTGCATAACCACAATACCATTATCACACATGACCAAATTAATAGTGACGTCTTAGCACCTAATTCTTCAGTCCATAATCAAATTTTCCCTGATTATCTCAAAAATACCCTTTTACCATACATTTGTTTATATCCAGACCCAAACAAGGTCCCTACATTGCATTCGGTTGTTCTGTCTCTTTAGTATCTTCATCTAGGACAATCTTCCCTCCATTCCCCCCACCACTGACGGGTTATACAAACCAGTTCTTCTGCAGAATGTTCCACATTCTGGGTTTGCTGGCTTCCTTGTGGGGTCATTTAAATTATTCCTCCTTTCTGGGGGCGCCTGGGTGGCTCAGTCGTTGAGCGTCTGCCTTCGGCTCAGGTCATGATCCCAGGGTCCTGGGATCGAGCCCCGCATCGGGCTCCCTGCTCGGCGGGGAGTCTGCTTCTCCTTCACCCTCTGCTTGCCTCTCTGCCTACTTGTACTCTCCCTCTCTCTCTCTTTGTCAAATAAATGGATAAAATCTTTTAAAATAAATAAATAAATAAATTATTCCTCTTTTCTGTGTGTTTCCTATAAACGAAACTTAGCTCTAGAAGTTTGGTTAGATTCAGTTTGACTTTTTGGCAAGAGTGCGTCACAGCGGGTGCTGTGTGTCTCAGATCCTGCCACAATTGTCTGCTCCCTCTATGTGTAGGGGACTAACATTGATCAGCTTGCATCTTTCTTTCTACACTTAACTCCCTATTCCAAAGATCTCTCCATTCCAGCTCCTATAGAACTTCCTCATTTATTTACACCCCGTGTGGATGCCACTGGATGAAAACATTACGTGAAAGCAACAATGTTATCATGCCATTGAAATGGACACTTCACGTCTCAGTTCGTCAAGTTGATCCTAAATGATCCACAGAGGCCTATGATTCTTTAACTACGTGCAATGGAAGTTTGCTTTTTAAAAGGAGCCCTTGAGTGTGTTTCTGGTAAAGAAGTCTTTTGTATGGGAATTAATTCATTTCTAAATTGCGTTTAGACGGGGCGCCTGGGTGGCTCAGTCGTTAAGCGTCTGCCTTCCGCTCAGGTCATGATCTCAGGGTCCTGGGATAGAGCCCCGCATCGGACTCCTGCTCAGCAGGAAGCCTGCTCCTCCCTCTCCCACTTCCCCTGCTGTGTTCCTGCTCTCACTGTGTCTGTCAAATAAATAAATAAAATCTTTAAAAAATAAAAAAAATAAACTGCGTTTGGAAAGTTGTATTGTGAATTCTCATAAGGTGTGCTTATTGAGTGTTGGCTACAATCACGTAGAGGGGTGCTACATACAATACCACTGTACAGATTAAGTTTGTGTTTTTGCTCTTCTTCGACAGCAGAAAAATCTCAGACTCCTTAAAGATAGCCCCCAAGCACCAAATGAAAACATTAGGATTATGTGTAATTAGAATTCACAGTTATAGGGGCGCCTGGGTGGCTCAGATGGTTAAGCGTCTGCCTTCGGCTCAGGTCATGATCCCAGGGTCCTGGGATCGAGTCCCGCATCGGGCTCCCTGCTTCTTGGGAGCCTGCTTCTCCCTCTGCCTCTCTCTCTCTCTCTCTCTCTGTCTTTCATGAATAAATAAATAAAATCTTAAAAAAAAAATATTAGAATTCACAGTTATAGATAACTAAAGGGCCACTAGACAAAATTCATAAAATGGAAGTTAGAGAATTTGACCCAGGTCAGGAGACAGGAGAACATGGGTGACAGAGATGGGATTATCTGGAAAAACTCAGTCTGATAAGAATCTACTTTGTACAATGGAGGCGCTGCTGAAGAATGGGTATCAGAGGGATGACTACATAAGGAATCCTATGTATACTTGATTTGAATCAAAATCTCTTATTTAAACCACAACATTTTAGTTTCCATGTGGTATTAGTCCCAAAATTTTGCAAAGGGAGGCACTAAGTTTGGATATTAAGGGTAAGAAGTTAAGCAATGTTGAGCTAGATCTTCTGACTTCCAGATTGCATCTAGCCATGTGACTTCCCTTTAAAAGTGCTTGTACGGAATAAGTCAGTCAGAGAAAGACAAATACCATATGATTTCACTCACGTAGAAGTTAAGAAACAAAACAAAGGAGCATAGGGGAAAAAAGCGAGAGAGAGGCAAACCAAGAAACAGACTCTTAACTATAGAAAACAAACTCATGGTTACAGAAGGGAGGCGGGCAGGGAGATGGGGGAAATGGGTGATGGGGATGAAGGAGGGCACTTGTCACGATGAGCACCGGGTGACGTATGGAAGTGCTGAATCACTATATTGTACACTTGAAACTAATTTTACACGGTATATTAATGAACTGAAATTTAAATAAAAACTTTTAAAATAAATAAATAAAAGTGCTTGTAAACTTGTGTTTGTACAGTACTTGAAAGCTTTTCTTTATTATATAAGACATACAGTAGAAAATTCTGAAAAAAAATAGGAATATAAATAAATAAATACCATAATCTCAGTAGCACAAAATACCTACTGTCAATATAATGGATCTTTTTTTGGTATTTTTCC